CCTTTATTGTACGTATGGGTGCAAAAGTTAAGGACCGTAAATATCTGTTACACTTCCCGTAAATATACAGAATACATGTACAAACATAAGACCTGCAGGGATAATACATGTACAAACATAAGAGCTGCAGAGATAATACATGTACAAACAGTGGAGTTGCAGATAAATTTTTGAAAAATTGAAAGTGATATTATGAATGGTTAAAAGAATTCCCAGATTAATGATGAGGGCTCTGATGACATTTCCATAGAGAATGATTACAAGATAACACAAGGACAGTTCTCTAGATCCAGTAGAAATGATGTTGAACATTTTCAAAGTGTACTTTGATTATGAACATTTTTCAAAGGGTACTTGGATTATGAAAAGGATCATTTTTATTGGTTTTGATAAAATTATTTTTAATATGCCTAATAGCATACAATGTTGCAAATAAAGACAACTCATAAAGAATCAAAATAGTGGGTGAATCATAAATTTATTTATTTTTTTTGTAATAGGTGGGTGGTCATACATTGCACTTATTGCTCTTTAACCAGTAATGATTTCAATTTTACATTTCATGTCTCATTTCAGGGCACCATTCGAGTCCCAGCACCATGTCAATATGCACACAAGCTGGCCTTTTTGCAAGGACAGTCACTTCACAGAGAGTTTTCTGCCTATTTGGCTGACAAGCTTTTTTATCTTTAAGATGTTTCATGTACTTTTAATTAATGACACAAAATTCCTGCCAATGAAAAATGTACGGATGCAGGCAGCATCTGGATTTTGATTCATAGGTTTTGCTTTTAATTTTAAGTGATCAAAGCACCACATCAGGGAACCCACATTTTTATACAGTACATGTAGTGTTTTAACTATTAAATTGATTCGATACTTACCAAGACACAGGTTTTGTCTTGTATAATAAAAATGTTGAAATCAATATTTTACTAGTTAATTCTTAGTTTGCGTACCAATAACAATTTGTTTTTAAATTGCATTTAAAGCTGTCATTAGCTTGTACAGACTGTCTCCTTACACAATTAAATCAAAACAAGATCTGATAGGTTAAAGGACCTGTTCATTTTTTTTCCGTGTCTAAGATAACATGTTAGTTGTATAAAAAAAATTCATGTAAATATTTTCATATGTATTAGAGGTAATTAAGTGTAGAAGAACAAACGATCGCCGCAATCATTATGTTCATTCATTTGTAAATTCCTAGTGTTTTTAAAACTCGTTGATCGTTATCACAGCATACAATTTTACCAAATAAAATCACCCGTCACTTGTGTATTTAAATATTTGTTCACTTCTGGGCTGAAATTTATTTCTGTTGTGTTGTTTTTACTTTCATATTGGTCACTTGGCTTTCTTTTCATATGAAGGCAAAATGTTTTTTTTTAGCCATTGGAACTTGCTGCTTCTTGGTAGAGATGCATACTTGATCCTTGTTCACATTGGTACTTTGTATTGAAATTGAAAAATGTGCCTTATGCCTTTCTGTCCTTCAGTTCAAAGATATCATTGAGTATTTGAATGCTTGCAGTTATTACTACTGACGACAGTCCTGCTGACACTGGCAATAATGCTGCAAATTATTATGTTGTTAATATTGGAGATCCATGAAGATTTGTCTGTTAAATACTATCTCTGTGTAGCTAAGTAAACACACACAATATTTAAATTTTTTTAGTTTGTTCTATAAATTGTCTTATCTAGTTCAGCAGTACTAGTTATAATCCACATAGCACAAGTAAAAAAAAAAACATATCCACATGACCCGCGTACACCCCCAACACAACATTATAAAATTGACTAGGTAGTGTTATGTGTATATAGTGTTAAAGTGCAATACTGAAATGTAGTAAAAAGTCGAGTTGTTTAAACTTAACACTTGGGCTCAGTGTTTTATAACAATACAGTCCTTTATTCACATCATTCCACATCATTTAAAATTTATTGCCACATGCAAATTGCTGCCATTGTTCACCGGAATATTTGATACATTGTTCACTTAATTTCAATTACATCTCAGTGTAGCTTATTTTTAAGAGAATTTTTGTTGGTTAAAATAAACAAGGCCAATGATCATCGTTAACCTCATTGTTTAAAATGTATGCTCCTTAAATGCTATTAAAGGAAATGTACATAAAACTCAGTTAATTAATGATTTTTTCTCAGTTGACAAAGCTTGTCAGTTTTTGTTATTTGAATTTTTTTTGTAAAAAGTTTAATTTTGTCATTTTCAAAATTTTTGAATTAAATAAAACACAAATACTCTGATGAATCATGCATTTTATTAGTATTTTGTTTGAATTGTATTTAGCCATTAAATAATTAACTTATTCTAAACCTTTTAACTGAAGTGCATTTTTCCGTAGTGTCAAGCAAGTTATTTTAAAATTTTCATAAGCTTGAGTTAAAAATGACAATCCCATACTACGATAATTACCAATCAATCCATACTAATGAATTCAGAGACCCTTACGATTATACATTTTCTGAAATGGCATTGGACAAGGTATCTTATGAGATAAAAGAATCTGTTTTTATATTACAGGTATGTTGATTTTGACCAGACCTTTACAGGATGAGTAAAATTTTGCATCCATTTTTTATTTAATACTCCTGAACATAAATCTATGATAATCTTAAGGGTAAGTCTTTGGGATCCAATCTTTGTCTTTTCTGATCAATTTCCACCCTTTCCTAATTAAACAAATTTGTAACAATATGAACAAGCTTAGGACTAAAATTGTCAAATCTGACTCTTATGTCACCATCACAGCTATATTTAATACTGTCATTAACTACTAGCAGGTGGAGTATGTCTGAAATCATTGCTTTAACTTTAATCAATTTGGTACAATTCCAACAAAGTCTGTTTTACAATCTAGAAGGGTACCCTCTTCAGCATCAAACATGATTGTAAAAAATATTGAGCACATTTCACACCTGATTAACACACAAAATCAAACTCAAATAGAGTGATTTCCAATTTAAATTAAATCAATTGCATTTTTAATGAAGATTTTGCCAGCACTATGACACCACAGAAAGGAGTTAAATTGCTGATGACCTTTACGGCAAATGTTATATAAGGTTAAAGTCCAATCCTCTGTTTTTAACTAAAATCCCCCATAGTTCGGATAAGGGTGCCACTATTTCTTGCTGTGGCTTTTGTTGTTGAAAGAATTATCAAATCATGTAAAACATATCACACTTTTTAATGAAATAAGCCAGTGCCACTGTGTAATGAAAGAAGCCAGTGCCACTCAGGAATACCCTGAGCAAGATACAAACTACTGAAACTGAAACGGTCAACTACTGCCTTGAAGAAAAAAAAAACAGCTCTATTTGCGGGTCCATTCATTATTGTAAATACCTGCGTAAGCGCCTGGCTGAGTACATTACAATTTTCTTGTTACCTTCCTTAATTAGTTATTGGGTACGTCTACCTACATATCACTTGAGATGATTAAGTACAACTAATCTCAGGTTGTGGTGTATTGATTCATGTATCAAATTATTCTTTAGCTAAGTTTGACTATGGTACTCTAATTTTATTAGAGTTGGGGTATAGTTATGTTTATTAAATCTTGAGTTTTCTATTTTCTTGTAGTCAATAACCAAACCAATCTCTTTTGCCAGTGTTCATTTTCATAATTGTAATTCATCTTACTTCTCGAAGTAACTGCCATTTATAAATATTAAATATATGGTTCTTAAGTGTCACATCTTTGAATTAGGTCCCATGAGTCATTAAGATATAAGAGACAGGAGCTAAAGTCCACAATCTGACAATTTACTGAAAATGACTTGTCTAGCTGTGTATACTTTCTGACAGTCAAGACACACACACTACTAATGCACAGGCCTATTTTTTATTACATAAAGAAATAAAAAGGTACCTTCATTGTCCACAGAACACCATAGAGCATAAGAAAGACATTACTGGAAATGTTTATATACAGATAAGTACAGAACAGAATATCCATTTTAATTACATAATGTGCACACTGGCTGCTTAAGAGTTCAGTTTTAAATTGAGTTTTCCAGCGTATCCCTAGTGGCCTTTTTGCACTTGCCCAACAACTCTTTGGACAACTAGAGGTTAGCATTGCAACTGATTTTAGTTCATGCTTGCCCTTGTTTCATTGTAATTTTTCTTCACAATCTTCTAGCAATCTGCATGTCTGGAAACACTTCTTTGACTCTGCTATTAAAACGATAGGAATTGGCTAGAGAAATACTTCCTTCTATTAGAAAGGTGGTAAAAAACAACTTCCAATCTAATAACTGAATCACCCGATTTCTTAGCAAAGAAATTAGACATGAATTTCGTAGATTCACCTGCTTAGCTGCAGTTGTATGTTTTTTGTGTTAAAATATGTTTATTAATATCATTGTAACCACCACTTTCAATAGATTTATCCATTTAATTAAAAAAAGCTTTAAAAAAAAGTTGCAACACAACTGAATTATATTTTAGCCTAGTAAAAGAATGAATCACGAACGGATTAATTGACGACTGAAGAATAACTTGGAGATTGAGGTTTGCTTTGATAAAAACAAGGCAGTGTCTACACGCCAGGAAACCGGACAAATAGTGCGGGAGATATTCATCCGGCGAGCATTTATTTAACATTGTCACATTTTAACCATTTGTTCATTATATATACCAGCAATGGTTCTAGTATTTATTTTGTATATATAATAGCCGGACAAATATCTCGAGAACTTATTCGTCCAGTCGCCGAACATGTAGACACTCCGTAAAAACAAAGAAAGTGGCATCATCAAAATTCACCACTTCCCACTCGATTTTTCGGTCGCTTTCGTATTTTTATGACCAGTGAAAAATTATAATGTTCGGAAAATCAGAATTTTAAGGGGTTTGTCTGGAAGGTAGGAATTAGGGGTAAAAAATCCGTATAATTCCGACAAAATCGGAAGGGTTGGCAGGTCTGCATTATGAACCTGTTGGCAAAAACTCCAAAAATCAACACCCCTCCCCCTTCAGTGCATACACAATATATGGATAGCCCATCACGTTGAAAAATTCAATAGTCATAGTTTATTCCACACAGTCAACATATTGACAGCAGAGGTATGAGTTGAGACAAAACAAAGTTGTTTATTTTCCTCAATTTCACATAGCACCAAACTTAAGTATCTGACGCTGGTTCTTTGTTAATATGTCTGTGTAGAACAAGGAAGTCAAAGAGCTTTCTGGTTTTGTTCACATCAATTTTGATCAGTGTCCGCGCCTGGGCGAGTCGTAGAAAACCATGTTTGGTACATTCATTGATGAGGATTTTTGAGAAGTCAAGGTAGGCCTGGGGTACCAGACGCACTTCTGCACAAAGCTGAGTGAAATATCAAATATAATCATGTCAGAAAATCATAATTGAATATTTTATAGAAACATACCAATTCATTCAAAAGTTCTCTTAAATAAATGAGTTATAATTATTTATATTTCGTTATTGAGCATTTTTAGGAAAGAGGCACTTATAATTTTGTGGAATAGTTTGTGGGATGCACTGAAAAAAATTCTCTGATATACAGTAACCAAATAACTGTTACTCTTCCCCTTAACTGACCCAGTGTTACTAATATTAAAATACCAATTCGACTTTATAAATAAAAGGTAGAAGATCTCAATAAATATATTTCAGCATATTGTGGGCATACAAATACTGATGAAGTTATCACCATGAGGTCAGGAATGTAAGAACTGTTAATATCAAGGCCACCAATGCATAAAATGATAAATAGAATTTACTTTTCAAAGGAGTGTGGAGGTCAGGGCCAATGTCTTAATTTATTTATCCCCATACATAGCCAGAGATTCTAAAAGATCTGTTAAATTGGCAATTATAGAAATGTGTATCCGGAAATTTGTGCGAAAGGAATTTATTTGAATGTAAATTTGTTAGAATGGAAGTTTTGGAAATGTAATTTGTTATACAGAGATTTATTTATTTAAGCCAGTGGTTCTCAATCTTTTTAATGCCGCGACCCTTTAATACAGTTCCTCATGTTCTGGCGACCCCCAGCCACAAAATTATTTTCGTTGCTGCTTCATAACTGTAGAGGATGTGTGTTTTCCGATAGTCTAAGGCGACCCTTGGGAAAGGGTCGTTCGACCCAAGGGGTCGCGACCCACTGGCTGAGAACCGCTGATTTAAGCACTTTAAGGTAAGGTGCAATTGAAGAATGGGAAAATGCAAACCTTTTAATAAAATGAATTTTTGGGTGTTTTTTCCTTTGATTTTGAACAAATTTCTGTTTGAACAAGTTTCCATCAAACTTTGAACAAATTTCCTGTAACTATTGCAATATAATTAGCATTCTTTTGTTAAATGTATCTGAAAGTAATAGAACTAGAATAAAATTGGCAAATAATCTTTCAGTTTTTTTACTACAGTTATTGATTGTAATATATGACATATAATTATACCTCTTTTTCCAATTCATTGAGCTTATCATAGCCTGGTAAACAATCAATCTGTAGACGGGGGACAGGTTTCTTGTAAAGTTGTGGCAAGGTGTGGGTGAGACCTTTGGATGAACTTTCCAATGCAGCTTGCTTAACCAGCCATGATTCAAAAAGTACTTCATCCTGTGAAATGAGGTCATAAATATGACAACAGAAAAAAACCTTTAAATACGATTTTGGCGCACAATGTACGATTTTGAGATGTCTTTTGCCATTGTATGCTAGAACCTGTCAGAACTACGCTTTTAAAGAGACCAGGTTGAAAAAATATATTGCAGTAGCTTTTGCGATTAAAAAAAAAAAATTAATTCTTTTTTTATTGTTAGTTTTACTCCTTTTTATACCCGGCACTGAATACACTGCTTATATCTCTTAACTACAACATCCCACCCCACTGAATACACTGCTTATATCTCTTAACTACAACATCCCACCCCCACTGAATACACTGCTTATATCTCTTAACTACAACATCCCACCCCCACTGAATATGCCGCTTATATCTCTTAACCACAACATCCCACCCCACTGAATATACCGCTTATATCTCTTAACTACAACATCCCACCCCACTGAATATACCACTTATATCTCTTAACTACAGCATCCCACCCCCACTACACAACTGTGTTACTGCGCTTTTGCTTAGAGGATGCACACTCATCAGTGATTCATTAGGTGACACTAATTACAATACAAATCTATATGATGACTCGCTTGAAGCCAACCAAGATATTAAAAAATAAAACACACACAAGTTGGGTTTTCACGTGTAACATCATGTGACACTCTAAATTCAGTCAGATGGCTTACTTAACCATAACAATACATTTAGAGAAATCTTTTTTTTTTATATTGTGTTCATTCATCTGGATCTGCATTGAATTGTTAAGACCAAGGCTTACCTTTAAATGATTTAAAACATCTGACAAAAGGTGGCGCTGGCCCCTGACTTGATCTCGACTGTGTTTCAACTTAAAGTAATGTTTAACAGAGCGGAGCCTCACTATGCCGTTGCGCCTGTACTCTTGCAATTTCGATATGTCCAATTTGAGCTGCTTCTCATCTGTGTTAATATAAATAAAAACTTCAACAGACATGAACCAATCGTGTCTCACTTGTCTTCCAGGAAGCTTCTATTATGTTTAAGAACTTTGCAATTTCATGGAAACATTACAATAACTAGTAGAAAATGTCCTATTATCTATTTTGTGTGTGTGTGTGTAAATTAAACTAAAAAATATTTTTCCAGCTTTGTAAACTGTTTTATAAACTTATTTTATAAACTAAATCTTTTCTAAAACAATTAAAAGTCTAGTCCCTATTTTTTTTCCAAAAAAAGTTCAACCTAAATTTATTAACTCTTTCTCTCTGAAATTAATTTCCACGTTCTGATGGAATTATCTATTTTGCATATTTGTCACGCACTACTATGTTATCTCTAAACCATCGTAACTTTTTTGTTTTTCATCAGCAAATGTTAAGTTTGGTATGGAATTAAAGGGGAATGCGTGCTCTTTGCAAACAATATAGAGTTGGGTTTAAATTTTAACATATAAATGTGATTATGATTTAAGAAAAATACAAATGTTAAATTAAAAAATTTCACCAAAAGTTCACAAGACGCTCATTCCAAGTCACACAAAGAGAAATTTATAATCCAAAGAGTAACAAAAATGTTTTTTTTTCTGAACTATAGCCATATGTGCATCACAAATAATAAAGATCACATTAAAAAATAAAACACCAGAGCACATTATTTACAAAAACTATTTCTACTGGAGGCAATCTGTTGCTTTAGAAAATATTTGCAACTGTATCCTTGTATGTACTAACATTTATTATGGTAAATGGAAAAATTACCATAAATTTGTCATATCTTTTCATCTGGGTTTAGCTATGGTTACCCTGAAAACAATCCATTGGGATGTGCGGATTTGACTCACATCCAGCACAAACGTATACCGGTACAGTTCATAGGAGCCAAAATGATCAATAAATTGATCGTGGGCCCTTAATATATAGAAGAAGAAGTTCGCCCTGTTCTATGGTGTTTGCACACTGTCCTTTTAGCGCTTATATGCTAATGTTTTGATCTGATAAGTCTGGCCGGAGTGTTGATTTTAATTCTGTAGGCAGCATACTCACTAGTCACAATACAAGCTCCAAATTTACACCTACATTTTTCAATCTGAAATTTCACTCATTTTTAGAGCTAAGATCAGCAGCTTTCCTTTTATAATCTACATTATTTATAGTAAGAACAGTATTAGCTCTTCTAGAAGGCACTTTAGCTGGGGGCGGGGCTGGTTGTTCATCAGCTGATGAATTATCAATTTCATTATTTCGTCACTAGGACTAATACTACAAATAGGGTTATAATTATACGATAATAAAGAATCAGCCTCTGCATGTGAAATCATAAAATCATTTTCTGAATCTTCATCAGAGTAATATTTTCAACCTTTATTAGATCGATCGCCAGATGAGTCAGGTCAAAATTTCATGTTTGTAAACAAAAAAAAACAACAGATAATCAAAACAACCCCTTTAAACAATTAAAAACTCATTGAATTAAAGAAAATCTGGATGTTTATCAAAGGGAAATCATTCTAGATTTGATTAAAAGTAATTTAAAGCCAATAGCTAAGAAAAGAACCTACACAAACAGGTTTTTATGCATCAAAGATCCGAACAAAAACCTCATTTAAAATCAAACATAAGAGAATTGATCCAAATGAAAAATTTGAGGTTAAGAAACATTAAAATGAAAGGTTGATGCTCATATTTCATATCAGCATAAAAATATTTTTTTTTGTTTTTCAATTTAATGATTTTAAATACATTTAAACACCACACAAATGAAGGGAAGCTTAAATTAATTTTTTAAATTCAATTTGATACCAGTATTAAAATAATCTAGCAGTTTTGAATTTAATTTTATCAAAACTTAAAGTAGAAAAGAATTTGTTTAAAATTTAAGTATTTTATTATATATACCCGGTATTATTCTAAGCATTCTGATTTAAACCACTGTACGCTGGAGAATATTTTTTTTTACTTATTCACAATAGAGTCTACTAAAAAAAGATTCACTAAATAAAAAGACTTACAAAGAAGACTCTCCAGGTATTTGTCAAAAGTAATGGAAGGAAACAGGCGCATGAATGGACGCATGTAGTCGAAAGATAAGCAAGAATCAAAGCGGCGCTTGAGCATTCCTGTGTTGAATAGAATAATTACTTTACGAAAAAGTCTGTGTCAAACAAAGTAATGACTTTATGATGATTCCTGTGTTAAATAAAATAATGACATATTGATGATTCCTGTGAGTTTTAAATAAAATATTATCACAACGCATTTTTAAACCATTTCATTTGTCAAAAAAATTTCATGTCTAAAACTGAAGAATGCATCAAAGAAGAAATTCACAATTATCTTAGGAACAGCCCTGTTAAAAATTTGGCATACCAGGAGAGCCACTTTGCATTTAAAAATAAAATCATTTTTTAGGTATGAATAATTTTATGAGCATGTGTGGGCCAAGACAATTTTAACACTGGCTTGAATTCTAATAATGAGGTATCTAAAAATGACTTAACTTCCTTTAATCGCCTCCTAGGCGTAAGCTCTCAGTAGATTACAAAAGACACTTACCATACCACTTCCTGAGATTAATGAGGCCATTTTCACGGACAATGCTAACAAGAAGAAAAAACATAAATAGCTGTTACTTTACATTAAGGCTGCGACTGTTCGCACCCGGGTACCAGAACTGAGAGGCTGGGATTAAAATAACTATTTAAAATAATACTGTTGGGGTTTGTAAGACAAAATGAGGTATCAAATGAAAGATAATTGAATGGACTATATGTAAACTTACTTCTTCAGTTTAACTAAAATAAACTACCACAAATGACATTGGAATAGCTTGAGTCTAATGGTACCTGGGTGCGAATGGTGGTGCTGCATGTCTGGGTCCATTTTTACTCAGTGCTATTCGGATGTCATTAGTGGTAGTTTATGTTAGTTAAACTGAAGAATTAAGTGTACAAACATATAGTCCATTCAATTATCTTTTACTTGATACCTCATTTTGTTTTTCAAACCCAACAATAAATTTTAAATAGTTTTTTAATCCCAACCTCTCACTTTTGATACCCGGGTACAAATAGCCACTTCATTAAATTAATGTATTTACCCACAATAGACAACTCATGAGCTTTGTTTTCTGGCCTAATTAATGTGCATGGCACGAAAATAAATCTTTCATTGTGCAAGCTGTCATCTGTTAATATTTGCCAACTGTTTTTATATTAGTGTTAACAATTGATTTCTTTTAGTGTTTCAGATACCTAGTGAGACAAAGCATAAGGCCCAATTAAAAATCTCGTACCCTGGCCTTATCATTGTTATGTTTTAAACTCTGACCCAAAATGACCAACGCTGCTATTTCTTTCTGTTATTCGACGCCCATTTAAAAAAAAACCCAAGCCAAAGTAAAGGAAAATGTTGTCCTCTGGCAGTAGAGGGTTTTTTACTCAGGGTTCCCTTCCTCCCAAAGAGTATCTGCCATTTCATGAGACAATTTTTCTCCTTGTTAGCCATGTGTTTAGTTTGTTTCTGTATTCAAATTTGTATTAAAATTTAATATAATAATTAAATTAAATATTGTTACTATCACAAGCTTTGGTATTGTTTTCTTTTCATGCTGTTTTTCTCAGTCCTTAGTTAAGTATTGTTTATTCTACCAGCCAAATCTTAAAACCGATTAAATCTTCAAAATCATAACGGTACGCAACAACACTCTCTTCCAGTGTACGATAAGTACCAATCCCCAAGCTGTCAACCTGGCAGATTTTCTCTCATTTATCTAAGGATTATATAGAATGTATAGCTTTCTTATTATGTATTACTGTTTTCTTCTTTGTCTCTCAATCAGGCAGTTTCTGTAAACCTCCAGGGCAGCCAAATTTAAATCTAGAAAAAAAAAAGCAGATATTTTTTTTTAAACATATGAAAATTTAAGTATTTCTTGTAGGAATATTGTTAAATGGGGAAGAGTTCCTACTAAATGACATCAGGCATCTAGGGGGTGGAGTGGGAGAGGGTGTCACTAATTTGTGACCATGTGTTATGAGGGTGACACAATTTTGCAACCATAAGGGTTTGGGGGATACAAAAAAAAACAAGAATAACATGACATCATTAATAGTACTAAGTCCAAAAGCAATAATGTCTTAAAATATTTTTTAATTAAGCCATTTAAAAATTAATATGTAGATTTCACAAGAAACCTTTGAGGACTCTAGATCACAAACTTAATATAAGTTAGAAATTATTAAATTTCCTAATTGTTCAAGTTTATTTTCTAATACAACTGTATTTAAGTTTTTGATCCAGGTTCTTAAAACTTTCTAATCGGAATTTTTAAATTTCAATATTTGACTAGACTTATAATGTATAAACAAGATTATTTTTGCTCACCCCTGTATAAAACCTTATCATCGTCTTCTTCCTCTTGCATTGAATTATCTTTATCATCTTCTTCACCTAAGTTCATATGGCAAATCTCCATCTCCACAAAATTGTCATACTCTACATTGAATTCACTTCTTGCGGCAGAGTAGCCTCCCATTTCCACCCACAAAGCGGTGCCATCGGCTGGTCGAGGTGGATTTTCAGATACTATAAAAAATAAGATAATCAGGTGTGCAGAGTATGCATTAGCGTTGTCACAGATTGCATTTTAAATAAGTAAAATATGAAAGGATAAATTAAATTTTGCAATGTCATTTTCAACATATTTTCATTTGCAGTGGAACTAAACCTCACACCGCATCATATGTTTTAGTAAAAGAAAAACAAGTTATTAAACTTTATTACAAAATTAAAAGTTACAATAACAAAAATTGAAATGAAAATATCATTCTTTAGCTAATTCTTGTCAGATAAGAGAAACTTTTCTGATATTCAAACAAATTTTAAAAATATTTTGATATCAGTTCTTTCACATAAACTATATTGTAGAGCCCAGCTTAAATGGAGACATAACCACTTTGAAGCTATTCCACAGAAAATTAATTCTGTATATACAACGATTTTCATGGTAATAATAATTGTAAAATAAAATCTTTTATTTAAAGATATTGTCCCGTGTCACCATGTTATACATTTGAAGGTTACCGGAGCTCCTTTATTGATACACTCTGCGTCTTGAAAGTCTGAGGAAATTAATAGCATTGATCAAAAGATGAATCAATCAAATGACATTGATCAAAAGATGAATCAATCAAATGACATTGATCAAAAGATGAATCAATCAAATGACATTGATCAAAAGATGAATGAATCAAATCATTGATCAAAAGATGAATCAATCAAACGGCATTGATCAAAAGATGAATTAATCAAATGGAAGATACTATCACATTTTCAGTTGAATATATTTAGTCATCTTCATTCTGTTTATTGGCAAGTCGAGGTTGTCACGACAATCTAATATATACATTTCTGCTGACATTGGGTTGTCAGTAAATAGAAGAAAACCATATCAATTATATTAGCCCCAAGATCCAAATGTAATTTATAATTAATTTGAAATTAAAAAAATGGTTTGTATACAAAACAGAAGAGAATGGAATAAATATTAATTAAGTACCGAACTCAAACATCACTAAAAATAACTGCGTTTAACAAAAAACTATAACCCACAGTTGCACTGTAATTTTTAAAATGTGTATTAGTATTAAGGATGCACAGCCAGGGGATTGAATGTGAATATTTACTTATCATTTAGATTGAAATGCACTGATAAGAAATAAAAAAAAGCCTTTACGAAAACTACCTGAATGAAGTAAAGAAACATACCTGGCAATGGCGCCTGAGGATTATCAACATAGCAATTTAAGTAATGTCTTTCGCACTCGTTTGCTGATTTTGTTCTCATTCTACTGGATACTGCTGGCCTATTTAAAACATATAATAAAAATATGATAAGAAAATTCTAAAAAAATTTAACTTCACATTAGATTAAATTACAATCTGCCAATACTTGCTAAAGCTGGACAGATGGACCCGAAAAATATAAAACGTTACAGTAGTGCCCAGTTATGTTGTAGGCCTCGGGGTTTGCCAAAAAGCGTCGAGATAACCAATGATCGAGATAAACAGAAACCAATATGGCGGCAATATATTAACATGTGCTTGAAATTTCTTTACGTACGCAATGTGCGTTCATTAAGGAGATGTACATGCACATGTTTTTAGAGGTTTCTATTACACAACAGCGTTACCGCAAGTTGTTTGATGAAGCCATCGGCATGCTATAAAAATGTCCATACATGTTTGCTCACAGCATAAGGCATATGTGGGATGTCACTTTTCCAGATTATCCAGGAATTCCGAATTTGTGAGGCTAACTATTTTTCAGCTCCGGATTCACGAGTTTTTATTTTTCTCTCGCTCCAAATTCGCCAGTTCAGTTTTTTCAAATATGGATTCTGGGTTTTAAAACGAAATTCAACCTGTAATAACACGTGTACGCCTAATAAGCGACAAGCGTAATGCAACCACTCTTTTTATTTTTGCAAGCCTCTCACTCATAGCTTCTTGCTGTGTCAAGTTAATTGTCCGGACAACGATATTTTCATTTCCTTTCAATTACTACAGTCTGAAGTAGGCACGTTTCTGTTGTATATAATTTTCAAAAGCCGGGGATTAATCATGGGGATTGAGATAACCGAGGTTAAGTGGCAAATTTGGCCGCCTTTTGTGCTCGAGATGTCAGGGTTTGGCAACATAAAAGAATTGTCATAACCAAGGAGAAAGTGTTAAGACAAAGAGAGAATTTGGCGGTTCCACTTCAAAAACGCTGATGTAAGTGTTGGTGAGTTAACTGAGGATGAGATAAGCGGGTTTGACTGCATTTTAAAAATTCAATTTAAATTCCTTCATCTTGATAAAAGATGTCAAATGGCTTCACTCATAATTTGTATGCCAACAGTTTTAATAATTTTTAACATGATCCTCATTATCTTTTCTTGAGTAGAAGAGTGTTGCATTTTTTTCTCTAAACCTTAACATAATTAAATTTACTCTATAATTGAATATATAACGATATACACCTCCCCCATGTAATTATGGGATTAAACTATCACTTTATATATATATATATATCAGTCAGCTACCATCAAGCCTAAATAAATAAATCATTTTTTTTTTATTAACCTTACCAGTTCCCGAAGCCATATTCCAAAATAGCATCCAACAAACGCATCTCTTCAGAAGCTGTCCAACTTGCTTCATAAAGAGGAAAATCAAATTTCTGGAAAACATGATTAGTCAGTCATTTAGGTTTAATTTCTTAAAGATATTGGTCAGTAACCAGTAGTGAAAGTTTAAACATATTTACTTGTCTTTTAAAAAAAAAAAAAATAGAATAACAGAAATTAGATAAGTTTAACTATAAGTTAAGAAATGAAGCACATTTGAAATTTAATTGAGAAAATCAAATTTCTGGAAAAAATGATTAGTCAGTCATTTAGGTTTAATTTCTTAAAGATATTGGTCAGTAAACAGTAGTGAAAGTTTAAACATATTTACTTGTCTTTTAAAAAAAAAAAAAAAAATAGAATAACAGAAATTAGATAAGTTTAACTATAAGTTAAGAAATGAAGCACATTTGAAATTTAATTGTTTCTTTTTCCACAGCACTATGAATGTCTTCAATTTTTTTTAAAGATACAAACTATAAAGACAACAAATGAATAATGTTGAAAATGAAGAGTAAACAAAAATGCATGATATATATAGGTCATATATAACTTAAACTGAAATATTTTATTTTTTTCTAATTTACCACAACACAATACGGGTGATCATTTTCATGTTGTCCCAATTCAACACCATATGAGAAACAGCGGGCACACAGATCCACATTAGGCTGACACTTAACACATCGAATCCAAGGTACTTCAAGTGGAACACTGCAAGATTGGCATGTTGTTCCAAATATTTCAAGGTCTTCTCCTTGAACTTGTAGAGTAGTCATTTCAAAATATTTTATGCTAATCTGCAACAATAGATAATGATAATAATAATGATAATGCAATTAAATTCACAAGTAATTAAAATGTATATATATATATCAAATAAATGGCAATATGGCTAATTAAACAACACTGGTAATATATTATATTTATATAATAGCCATAGGCTTAATTGTAGGCCTAACTACTCATAGCAATATTTAATACCAAAGTCAGTATGAGTAGACAAGGGACTCCAGGGTCAAGGGGGAAGTAAGGAAAAGTCCTACTAAGTAAGTGATAATTGAAATTGGGCCTATTGATTAACTTTTATAAAGTCTTCAACTACTTGAAGGAAAAAACATTAGGCTCACATTTTGGCCGTGGCTATTGGTACTTTACTACAATAGCATCTAGGGAGCATTTGAAGTAAACTACCAATAGCTTCTAGAGAGCTATTGGTACTCCACTACCAGTGCCATTAGCTTCTAAGCGGCTATTGGTAGTTTACTATAAAAAACTACCAATTGGTGATATATTGATGTAGTGCAATAATTATTGGTGGTCACAATTTATTTTTGATTACAATACTGAAATCACTCTAAAGTATGTATGTGGCCACACAAAAAAACATGTGGCAACAAAATTTATTGTTTGCGTTTAGTCTCATAGTCATAAATTCACTCCAATCGGATTTTCAAGACATAATACACTTATTTTTCTTTCTTTGTATATATTTTATTTTATTTATGTATCACTGCTTATGTTTTCATCAAAATTATGTGCAGTTTAAAAACACTGATTCTGCATACTCTGCATAGCATTAAAAAATAAATAGTAAATGGTGATTCATAGACATTAAATTTAAATTGATTAATTTGTGTTATAGTTGCACAATATACCCAATGAAATTTTTTAATTGTACATAAAAAATATCAATGCCTTTATAAGTTAATGAGTGCTCATTAATGTAAATAACACTCAGTAGTCATTTCTCCCAACAACAGAAAATCAAAGCAGGGTCGGGTGGTGTTGGTTTATGTGATCATGTTCCTAAACAATGTTTGGCCTAAGCTTATTTTATCATGTTAAGCCTAATCATGTTATTATACAGTTTCATTTAACTAAAGTAACAATATTTTGTTTTTAATATGCACACATTGTATGTAGTCGTAGTAAAACTTCTTATGGTAATTATTTAGGCCTGTATTTTAATTTATAATTTTAATCATAATAATTAGCACACAAAATTTTTACAGTGGATTTTGTTTTTACTGCACATCTTACTTTGGCCTTGGCAAAGAAGAAGCTGGGTAACATTTTTTTCAGACTATGATCCCCCTTCCCCCCAGTAATATCATACATCTATCTAAGATCTATCTATATTATATTAGGTCTATATTATAAATTATATAGCAATATGGCCAAATCTGAGCTTGGGGAAGGCTACAGCAGATAGTGTTCAAACTTTAAAACAGTACTGTAGATTTTATAATTAGTGCCGAGGTGTTGTCACTAGTACAAACTAGTAATAAATAAACGGGGCAATACTTCGCCAGCCTTATTATTGGAAGCAGATTTTTTAAGATAAGATTTTGGTTTGATTTGATTGGCTGAACTACAAATAACAAATAGCTCTCTAGAAGCTATTTGTACTTTACTACAAATAGCTCCCTGCCCTAACTAGAAGCTATAGGTAGTAAACTACCAATAGACACTTTCTACATTTTAACTTGAACTACAACACAGTTTCTCAATAATTTTGTCAATAGTGACAATGACAATAGTCACTTTTAAATTTAAATAAATACATTATAGGCCATACTCCATGGCCATTACCATCCTCCTTAGTCTTAGAACTCTTTTAGTCTTAAACTTTAAATGAAAGTCTCTCTCAGTCTCATACATTTTAAAATTTTATAATTATGCATTTATATTTAATATAAGGACTGTAGAGTCAAGAAAGTCAAACAATTAGGACACGTCGTCACAAGGTAAAGACAACTCAGACTCACCGGAGCAGTTGTTAAAATAATTTCCAATAAACTGATTGTTCTACTAGTTACTAGTCCTAGTCTATTACTAGTTAATCATTACTAGTGACTAGTGGTAGTATTAAGTAGGCTTAGGCTTACTAACTTTTACTTTGTAACTATAACTGTTTTTAGTACTTGACTTATATTGCTTTTTATTATTTCTAGAAATTCATTTTCACCTCATGGAACTTCGTTGAATGTATTTTTAAAAGGCAAAAAAGGTAATCCCTTATTTTAGTGCGTTTTATTATTTCTACAGAAATAAAATTAAAAATTCATTTTTACCTCATGGAACTACATTAAAACACTTCAGTGCTACTGTAACATGTATTTATTGTTTTCCAATTGTTTTGTAATGTATTTTGCAGTGGTTTTAAGGTGAAAATTTAATATAAACCATGTATTTACAAAGACTATCGACGGCTGCTATTGTTTTGGTCTGTTTCGCTGAAGTTTGGCCAGATTTTTTGCCAGTCTCAGACCAAAATAATTATTGATACGGTTAAAGGAATGTAAAAATAATAGAACAATTATATGTCAGATTCAGGGGCATCGGCTTACACTTGAGTGTAGGCGTAGGGACCGGCATCGGCTTACACTGGGGTGTAGGCGTAGGGACCGGCATCGGCTTACACTGGGGTGTAGGTAGGCGCAGTGACCGGAATCTCTCTGAGCGTTGAAGGTGCAGTCGTCCCATCGTGTTGTCCATACACTCTAGGCCTAGGCCCATTTAATGCGATCTGTGCCAGTATGAAGGTTAAAAGGTCATACCTTGGTGGACGTGGGGGCAGGAGGGTGGGGGTACACTTCCCCTGTCCATCAGAGCGTGATGATCGGCATCACGTGTCCCCCCTCCCCCCCCCCACACTTTTTTTTCTCTCTCCCAGAGTGCTCGAAATATACGGGTAGACCCTTGAAGTTGAAGCCATGGTTGGGGGGGGGGGTAGAATTTGAAACTGATTACCATGGCAGCGTACCCACACATCATCCTTTATTTGGGAATAAAGTTATCGGACCAAGAGGGACCGGGACGAGGCATTACGTCAATTTTTTTCTCTCTCCCAGAGTGCTCGGAATATACGGGGAGACCCTTGAAGTTGAAGCCATGGTTGGGGGGGGGGGTAGAATTTGAAACTGATTACCATGGCAGCGTACACACACATCATCCTTTACTTGTGAATAAAGTTATCGGACCAAGAGTGACCGGGACGATGCATTACGTCACTATATCAAAGAATGACAGCGTAGCAGTTTCAGTAGTGGTGTAAGCTGACCAGAGAAACCGCGAAACAGTGGGCCGGGCAAAAGACGCCGAGCACGGAGTCTCGACGTAATAGGATTCCACGCACATCAAAGAGCGACCGATGTCCATGTCCAAGTCACTGATGGGCAAGGGAACCAGAGGCAAGGCTCGAGCACGTGGTGTTGATGTAATACCATTGCCTTTGTTTAACTAGATGGACAAGGGAACCAGAGACATGGCTCGAGCACTTGGTGTTGATGTAACACCTTTGTTTAACTAGGGCTGAAGTTGATGAATTAAAAGTGGCGCTGTCAAGAGAAGCTAGGTTCTTGGAAGTAAGGTTGTTCACCGCGGAGCTGGAGTGGGTCTGCATCTGCTAAAATTCCCTACTTCTCTGAGCTCCAAAAAATATTAATGAACTAGCCAAACATACCCGGCGTTGCCCGGGATAGCATCGGAAAAACAACAACGTCTACGGCCTTTTAATTTACATTGAAATTATGCGCCAAGTAAAAAAAACAAAACGAAAAATCCTAATTAATTTGTCTCCTATAAAAACACATTTAAAATAACTTGTGTAAACCTTTCGATCCCCCATAGTATCCCATTTTCCAATGGGATCCAGATCCTATTGGAATCCCAATCCCGTTGAAATCCCTTTCCCAATGTAATCCCATTCCCATTGGGATACCAACCCCATGGGGGTTCCGATTCCGTTAGGATCGATCCCATTTCCCGGTGGGAACCCAATCCCGTCGGTATAACAATCGTGGTGTGATCCCATTCCCGTCGATAGCTTGATTCCAGTGGGATCCCGATCCCGGTGGGATCCTGCTTCCCAGTTAGATCCCAAATCCAGGTGGGTTCCTGATCCCAATAGAACCCGATCCCGGTAGGTCACTGATCCCGTTTTCCCATAGAACCTCGGTATGATCACGCAACCCGATGGGATCCCGTTACAAGATTAATCCATTCATGTTTTTTTTAAGGTATTTTTTTAGTAATTTTATTTATATAGCTCATATAATATAAGGAAAAAAAACGAATTCGGGCCCCAGGCCCCCCCCCCCCAGCTCCTAAAGGAATGT